GGGAATGCCGAAATCAAAAATATTTAGAGCAGAATCAGCGAACTTCTTTGTGTAGAGCAGTCATGTTTATTTTTATTATTAGAGGACGTTTGCGCGCTTAATTATTCCATGTTTGGAATTCACATTTCCTTATATGGTAGGATGAAAATACCTCGTAAAATACCGCAAAATTACGGCACACTGTAACTTATGGCGTAACGGTTACAGATGTATAATTATATTTTTTTATTATGGGCCTATAAATATAATCATACACGTACGCACTACTAACCTAAAAGAAGGACAAGGCAGATATGTCATCCGGCGTGGAAATATGTAGGCGTTTACCAAAATACTAGAATACCTAGTAATACATTACATATGTTGCAGTATAACGGCAATAAATATATTTCCTGAAAACAGTGGTATTATGTGTAACAAATATTTTGCTTGTAACAGATTACGCAAACATATTATTGTAAACAACTGTGAACTAATAAACTGCATTGTTTACAACACGACGATCATTAACGCTACTCATGAATCGGACAAATTTGTTTCATAATGTACTGTATCGTGGAACCACTGAACATTTGAATGACCTAGTGCGAGGGAACATCATGTTGATGCGTAAAGTGTTAATTCTATTCTTTCTCACGTGATGCACTACGTAGAATGTTACAACGCGGGTTCATGTGTGTTATCGCATATCTTCTGTCAGAATATGTAGAAATTGCCAAGGTTACATGTACAAAACGTTGGAATTTTTTCAACATGTTCTGTAGAACCGTTGATTAGAAGCAGTTAATGAACACTATTCTGTTCTGTGATGCAAAACAACGTTTTGATTAAAAAAAATCTAAAGCCATAAACCATAAAGCCATAAAGCCTCTAAACATGGCATTATGATCCACAACTATACGTACAATAAAATACGATTTCAACGAATTCTGGGTATTTTTTCTACTGAGTAACTTTTCAATTCAAATGAAGGTCGGAAGATAAAATCCAAATTATTTTGTTTCCGGTGGCATTTCTCATATATTTCCGAAAAAAAATAGTAATTAATTCAATGACCATCACAGACTGGTTGGCAGCAAATCGAACCCACTTTGTGGAATTCAGACGAATATTTATCTTAAAAACAATTGTGTAAGTAATGACTAAGAGTGACTAATAAATAAGTAGTCTAGCATCACGCATCCATTTTATTCGTCCCAATTGCAAGAACGAAATACGTTTTTATTCTACCCTCGAATAAATCTATTCTAAAATGAACCATGTCGTTGGCATATGTCTGTTTCAACGAAAAGGCAATGTAATGAAACAGGACAACGCACCTCTACAACAAACATTCAGAATATTTCTTTTTCTCTTCAAATATCCTAAATATTCATAAATAAATTAATAAAGACACATTATAGACGAATTATTATATTATATTAGAATTTTATATCGATGTGTGATGCAGGGGGTGGATTTGAACAACGTTAATTCATGTTTCATTACGCATTGGATATACTATAAATTACAGGCGAGTATACGAGTGTATGAATGTGAAACGCAAAATTGTAACTCACAACCAACTCTAATGCGCCTCGTCGAAGTACAACGCCCTGTTACACTACCACGCACTGCCCCCAAACAATACCTGTGTAATGAACGCGAACTTACAGTGAGTAGCTAGGACATGCGCAATTCGAATCTTGCTCGGATCATAAAGTTTTATTTAATAATTACCAAGGACTAAGTGGTTAAATTTATTGCAGATCGTTGATCAATGCAGAACCGTTGAAACAATGTACAACTAAAACACATTACCACCCAAGAATAACGATGGTATACTATCATACTTATTTTTAGACAATTCATTTTGGGCGGTCAAATGTCACTATATATGATGATACTCTGACAAAGACTGACATGGCATATACTTCAAATCCACAATTGTGATGGTTGGTCGATTGCTTATCAAACAGCATTTTGAATTTAAAATAGTATATGTTTAAACCCTAAACTATTTATGTAAACTGGAGCACAGAAGGCCATTCAAGATGACACATGCGGGTATTGATATTAATTTTAACTTTCTGTTCTGTTATGAGCTTAGATATTAAAATATGAAATATACATTTAATACTTGATATATTTATTCTTCCCACATATCATGGCAGTTCAGTGTAATAACTATTTTGTTTGTTTATATAGCTCTATACTATGAGATAAACATTAAGGCAATCTGATTGGTCCGTGCAAGCAGACCGACCTTTCACATTGTGGTTGACTATCGCAAAATGGGCTGGTATTTAAAAATATTGGTGGTTTATACAATATTTTTGGAATTATTATTAAAAAATATTAATGAATTTCTCAACGCCAATATTCTTTTTCGCCAATTAATTGTGAAACGGCCAATGTTTTAATTGCCCTCAAAATTAGTAATTAAGTTACAAATGTATTCTATGAACCATAAATATAGTGATGACTTAAAAAATAACGGCGTTCATGCACGGCGATCGCTCATTCGAATGAGCCAAACACTCAACGACCTTGAATACGCACTCACAAACTACCATCTCTTGGTTTGTATTAGCCTTTATATGATGTGAAATGAATACATGGGATAAATAAGAAATCGCATTCGTTGCCCTGCAATATGAGATTTATTAAATTCGTATTAGTAGTAATTTTTATTTGTTATTTATTTCACTATCTTGCAAAGTATAACATCGAGAAAAGGCACATTTGAATAGTGGAAACTACAGTGGTAGTTCAACTGAACTAGTCAAGTTCCTAGCGCCATTGAAGAAAATTAGTGGCAAATTAGATATTATAAAAAATAAAACAAAAATAAGAATAATAAAAACGGGAATGTGTAAGGAAATATCCTCAAGCAATAATAGCAAATATCAACTGAAATTGGCAAAATATCCGAGAAAAGGAAAAAAGATGTAAGCAGACATTGTAAAAAAAATTAGGCAAATATGACTGATATGTGAAAAACATTTTTAGTTATTTAGACGTACCTAGAAAACAAATCCAAATAAAAAAACAAATGAGACGCAGTCTTCCAGTTTACAGTGTAATAAAATTGTCAGTCATGTAATCTCGTCTTAGACAAAAACTATTATAGATAATGCATGGATGATGCATCAATTTTAAATTGTTTTTCTCCTGTTGCTACCTAGATGTCGGAGTTCTAGGAAACGTCCATGCCCGCAAGTCGAGGTTAACGTGTTTGTGTTCAGTCCCATAGCGGGTTGTGTGTGTATGTGTATTATGACAAATAGCACATGTAGTAGTAATAGCATTTGATTCATGTACATATCACCACAATCTATACATTGCTTTCAACCACGAACTGCCTGTTTAGATCATTCAGTAAAGTCACTATACATTCACACAGCTCGTCGATCTGACCTATCCAGGGTTTGATTGCTTAAGGTAGCAGGACTATTATTTGTGTTGAAAATTACGATTTTCACATT